TTTTTTTTGGTTGTTGTGGGTTGGATTTAAGAGGGGAAAAATGTTTTGAACGTACTTGCTTTCTTTTATTGTAATTCACAGTGGAAGAGGAAAGGTAGAATATGAAATAGAATAAGTAATTGAACCTTCTGTACTCAGCATACTTTTTTAGAAGGTTAGACTCTTGTCTAATCATTGAGTTCTTTGGTGGTGGGCAACTGGAGTATAGAAAGCATGTCTGTAGCAGACTGAAGAGGAGCTTGTTTTTAAGTCAGTGAAAGTTCATATATTCAACAGTAAATTAATGAGCTTATTAGTATTCATTACTGTGAAGCAGGTCTCTTTTAAGCTGACAGTTTTTTTTCCTTAATACCAAAGAAAATTGGAAGTGTAGTAAGATTGTAACTTGAGTGGAATGGATGAGTAGGATCTGTGCTTGTTGTGTGAGGGGAAAGGAAATGGGAGGAGTATATATAAAAATAATGGATTTCTAAAAGTAGCCACAAAGCATGTGTGGAAAACAATAAAATACTTTTTCTTCCATGGATTCTTGCTGTGTAAACAGAAGATAAGCACCTAAAGTACCTAAAAGTATATTTATGTCCCTATTAGATTGCATTATTTAGAAAGTAAACTTGTTCCTTTGCTTTTTTCTAGGTTCAAGAAGGCATTTGAGTCAGAGCCAACGTTACAGTCGGGGATTAATTATGCAGTACTTCTCTTGGCAGCTGGACACTGCTTTGATACTTCTTTTGAGCTGCGGAAAGTTGGTAATTATAGCTTGCAAATTCCCAGAGACATCGAGTTCTAGGGAGAGTGTGACACTGTCACAGGGGAAAGCCTGAGGATTGTGTACAAATGCTTTGCTAGTAAGTGTGTGAATATTGAAATTGGTCTCCCTCACCAACACTGGTCTGTCCTGAGCGCAGGTAAGCGCTGTCAGGAAGGCCTGGTTCCAGTTGCAAGATCTTAACTGGTTACCAGAGGTTAGTGAAAACTGACAGCACTCCTTTGCCATGACATCATTTGTGTGGAACAGGAACACCTGAAGGGGGAAGCCCATTCCATCTAGCATTCCTTAAAGCAAACAAGCCCCTGTAGAATTGGTGGGAGTATGGAGGAAAAGTCCAGACGAAGAGTGGGGAAAATGCACTTGAGCCTGGAATGGGCTGAGAGAAGAATGTTTCTCTTCCTGTGCTTTCTGTGAGGTTTCTTGGATGTCTGTATTCATAGAATCACAGAGTGGTTTGGGTTGGAAGGGACATCTTAAAGACCATCTAGTCCAACCCCCATGCTGTGGGCTAGGACACCTTTCACTAGATCAGGTTTCCCAACCTGACCTTGATTGAGCACTTCCAACAATGCAGCGTTCACGACTTCCCTGGCCAGTCTGGTCTAATGTCTCACCATCCTCACTGTAAAAAATTTCTTGCTTAAGAAGGAAGCATTAAGGTGTCTAATTTGTGGGTTTATTTTATTTTGCTGGATTTGAGGAGAATACAAAGTCAAGATTAGTAATGCTTTCAGGGAAGGTATGGAGACAGCACTGAATATTGCAAGTTGTAGTAACATAGCCTTTGCAACTCCCATTCTTCTTAATGAATTTTTGTAGTTCTTGACTTAGTGTAGTCTTTTTTGTCCTCCTGTCTCCTGAGGAGATTGTCAAGTGAGAAACAAAGAATGCTGTACATCTACAGGATGTGTCTGTAACCAGCCACTGCTCTAGTTTAGAAGTTAGACATGCACTGTGTCTCTGGAAGTACCTTTCTGGATAGAGAAGTTTTGAGTCTGAGGGTCAAAGTGAGGTGGTTACTTTCACATAGTGAAATTGAAATTCTCTGGTGTGAATGAAGGTATTCATTTGGATGTGATGGGCTGCATAAAACTGCCCCAACTACTGTGTTTGCCCTTCTGTGAGTGGCTGTAATTAGAAGATGCATATCTGATTACATTGATGATAATGTAATCCAGTAAAACTCAGTCTAGTATCCAAGAGAATTTTTACCTATCTGCATCAGATCAGAAAGTTGACCTTCTAAATGTTCCTACCTCTACTTGTCAGATAATAGTTCACAATAAGATGATGATGTGAAGCATTGATGAAAATCCTTCTCTGTTTTCTGAATAGTATGGCTTTCTTAACTGTAAAAAAAATGTAGAACTTTGAGACTAAAACAGAGATGCAGTGCTTGGCATTGACAGTCATGATATCTGCAGGCTGTGCGACTTTGGCTCACGAAGGATCCTGTAGTATTAATTGTTCTGTCAATATTTGAGCAAGGAAAGCAGTTTATTTATAAAGCCTTCATAGTAACATTTAACTGGTAATCTTCATAGTAATATTTAACTGGTAATATCTACTGACTGTATCTTGTTTTCCTGTCAAGCTGTGGGTATATTCTTGAAGTTATTAGACCAATGGCTTTTCTGCCATTAGTGGTTTCTCTATTTTGGCTCATTTATTTTTAAGGCAAAATATTTGTGATAAAATATCCTGGAATGCAGCTGCTGCTTTTTTCTTTTCCTTGGGAGTGTGCCCTGCAGATATTGCTCAGCAATGTTACTCAGGGTGCTGGGGGGAGATTTCATTTTTTCCACTTGCTGTTGTGGGAGTAGCATGCAGGTTTTGTTTTTCTAGAGCCCAACGGAAGCTGGACAGATGTAACGTAAACCCCCCTTCCTGTCCTGCTGTGACAAGTGGAGGTGCCTATCCCCAGCAGTCTGACCATGTGCACATACATAGCTCCAGCTCCCTGGCTTGGAGCCTGCAGTGCTGAGAGACGCTGAGATAGATGGTCACCAGCCTGTGTTGTGGAGTTGGTGGAGGTGATGCACATTGCATCATGTAGGTCTGAGATATCTTGTAAAGACTACTGCATTTTTTTCTCTTTGGGAATAACTAAATTCCCTTCTTTCCCAAGAAGTGACTAAACAATTTTTTTTTATATGATTTAAGCAATATGTCACTATGGCATGACAATTTCTTCTTACCATGTGTGAAATACAGACATGAAACAGGCTGTAGACCATTTGGATAAAATTTCACATTTCAAAAACATTATCTAATATTGATAACGTAAAAATGTGAACAACAGGAGAAAACAAGATGAACTTTGTCGAGTGAAATGTAATGATATCCATTTTGGTAGGATTTATTGCTGCTTCCAACATGAAGTTTAGTCTGTTAGCTACTGAAGGAACGGCAAGGAGAAAATAAAGATCAACAATTGCATTGAAATTTCTCATGAATACTCAGCCTTAACATCAGAGTAATGTGGAAGAGAGGCTGTCACAGTGGAGTAGTGTGGGAAAAGCGGATGCAAGACTATGATGAAGAGACTTGTCTTGTAAGCTGCAAGTTGTTTTATTTGCAAGGGATGGTGTAGCATCTCTCACGTTAGCTATAAATACATAGCAGTTGATATGAACTAAAAATCATCCTGGAGGCCACAGGGAGACCTCTAGTACTCAGGAAACTTAGCAAGTTAAAATAAACCCTGAGGTTGTCCACAGTCGTGAGTTGCTGAGGGACTTATGAATATTAATAGATGTCTTTCATTGGGGTAGGACTTGCGGCAATTAAAAGAACATCACTGCTGGAAGAAGCCCAGTGGATCATCTGTTCCTTCTGCATGGGACCTTGTCTATAAAGGTAAGTTTGGGGCTTGGGGCTTTTAAGTAAAAAAAACAAAAACAAAGCAGAAAAAAACATAATAGGTGCCTTATTCAGCATCTGTTAAGTTTTTACAGCTATGTTGTGTAGCCTAAGGCCCCAATTTACCTTTACAGATGAGGTCCATGCAAGAACATAGGTAATATGTGACTGTGGCCTTGTCCTGACAGTGATGTCTTAAGAGTTCCTTTCTTTAGGAAGAGGGGGAGGGGAAAAAAATCTACTGTTTAGGGTGTTCAAAATGCCTGTAATATTAAATGGTAAGTATGATTTCTGTCTTACTTCATGGAAATGGGGAGGCTACAGTGATGTAAGTAATTAATAGATTTCAAATCAGATAAATGGTTATTTCAGAACTGCATTAATACATTCCTGTGATGTGTTACTGTTTTTGCTACAGGAGTAAAGATCAGCAGCCTGCTTGGTAAAAAGGGATGCTTGGAGAAACTGCAAAGCTATTGGGAAGTGGGATCTTTCTTGGGGGCCAGTATGTTGGCTAATGACCATATAAGAGTGATCCAGGCTTCAGAAAAGCTGTTTAAGCTAAAGGCACCAGCATGGTAAGGTGATAAGTGAGATCACGTACATTGCTATGAATTGGACTCCTTCAGCTTTGACATTCAGCATCCTATTTAGCTTACAGGAGATTGGTTTGGTTTTTTTCAAGATTTTGCTGTCTGTGTATTTGTTTCACTGCATTTTTCCCGTTAAGGGGCACTCTTCCCCTTTTGCCCTTACTCAGCTATAGATTTGCTATGAGCCTTTAATCTGATGCCTAAAAAGGGCAGATCCACCATTGAGTCCAGGCAGGCTCTTCTGAGAGCAAGGGGAAAGGAGTTACTTGTAGGCACCCTTCTTCAGCAGTTACATTGCTGAAGAGAAGGGCTATTGGCATGTGGGTTTAGTCATAACTGCCTGGAATGTTTTGGGAAATACAGACAGCTTGGCTAAAGAGGCATGGATATACCCTGGGATCCTGTGGTGGTTACTGCACATACCAGCTGGGTTAGGAGCTGGAACACAGATGGGCTGTGTTGCCGTGAGCACAGAGAGGCAAACCAAAGTGACGAGCCAGACAAGTCATGTACTTTTGGTAATATGACTGATTTTAGTCACTGATCAATGTTTCTTATGTAGGATACAGACAGTATGACATCATGGTAATCTTGATCATACAAAACAAGGGATGATAGACCATAATTATACAAAAGCATGTTAAATTATTATTATCATTTATTTTTACCAACTGGAAGTATTGATTAACTACTCTCCTAAATGTCCATTAATTCATTACACACGTATCCTGGATAGATTTATTAGTCTCCTATTCTCCCAAGTATCCATGATTTCATTATGCTAATATCCTGAATAGATGTGTTGTTTTCCAAGTATATATTAATTCATTATACAAGTATCCTAGATAGATGTATTGTTCCCCAAGTATCTGTTAGGTCATTATCCAAATGTCCTGGACAGAGTCAGAAGTTAATAGAGTACATTATCCTAGAGCTAATAGGATAATTATCCTGTTATCCAAGATACATATCATCCAACTCTCTCAGCATCTGTCAGGTGATGGGCCTTGCCACATAACTTGTCCTTTGAATGACCTTGCCTTGCAGAGGTCTCAAGCTGCTGAGCTAGTTCTCCACACTAATAATAATGGTTGCATCTCATTATGGTGTGGTTGCATCTCATTATGGTATGGTTGCAACTGCAGGTTGCATCTCATTATGATTGAGAAGTGTGCAGAGTGAAGTCCAATTAGCAGAAAGGTTGTCAATCTAGGGTTAAGGACAACCCTGTGGACTCAACATCTCTTAAGCAAAGGCCAAGAGACACATGCTCTGCCAGCTGGCTCCTGGCACCTGCTCTCCTTTGGATGTAGGCAGTGATCAAGGACCAGGCACCTGCTCACCAAGGGCTGGGGTCCTGTTAGCTGCAGAGAACCGAGACTGCTTTCTCACTAAAAAAGTTGTCACCCTGCCAATTGAAAAGTGCATATATCACAGCTTCTGCTTTTCTGTTTTTTTATGAAGGCTAGAAAGCACCTCCAAAGCTGTTCAGAGAGGAGTGTATTTGTGTGCTAAAATATGCAAATACTGAACTTTTATATTGACATAATGTAGGAAACAGTCAAAATTAAGAACTCTTGATTTTCTGACAAAGTGTTTTATACAGGCTGATCAAAGTGTATTTCTCTGCAAGATTTTTCCATATTTACTATGTGCAAGTTGTACTGTGAAGCTGGATAACACTGTCTGGAAGTTTTCTGATAGAGTTTTCTAAGTTTGTGAGTGCCTGGTTGTCAGAATTTTATGTACCAGTGCCTTTGGGGTTTAAATCTGTGGATCAAACTCTGAAAGTACAGCACACTCATTTGTGATTCAGGGAAGATTTGTCATGGGAGCAGTTCCTTCCCAGTGTGTTGCCTGCTGTTCAGCAGAGCCTGCATGGTGCAAAGGGGAGTAGATACAGTACTTGAAGCCAGTTATCCCTGTGGCCTAAAAAGGATGGAAGTTATGGAACTGTTCCCAAATGGCCCTCTGAGTTTACATTATACCCTGTGGTCATAAGGCCAGAAACAAGTCTCCGTGAGTACTCTTAATTGCCATAAGGTGATAGCTGTGATAAATCCTCTTTAAGCCTGTGTATCTCATTGCTGCAGTGTTCATAAAAATTGCACAAGATTGTGTTTACAACTTTTTTCAAAAATGGCAAGAGAAAGCAATGTTATAAGGAGCCCCCTAGATCAGTCCCAGAGGGTAGAAGAGCAGAGAGAGGGATGAGCTGCATTCAGGGCA